CTATAAACTGTTAGCAACTATTTGGGGGTAAACAGTAGTTGTGACTTTTTACTCTCTCCTTTTTTCTTTTTGTACTACCTGAAAACTTTATAATAAGCATCTTTTTCATTAATAATAAGAGTGAAAAAACACAATAAGCCAGTTTTATTTTAGAAATCAAGAAGGAAAAGACAGAAGAAAGGAATGGAAGAAAGGGAGGGAAATCCCTGATCTCATCCCCTCTTCTCTCCTCCACTTGGAGATGTACCCAGGTTTGCATCAGGATGGAGGTGAGAGGGTTTCTAGATAGGGCCTTCAGGCCAGGGATGGGGTCACCAGCCAACAGAATTTTTTGTGTGTCCATGGAAGATTCTCAAGGCATATTGTGTAAAAACAAAATTTAAGACAGAGTACCACAATTAAGTGTGATGCACACCACACACACACACACACACACACACACAAAAATCACTAAAGGGGGCACACACATATGTTTGCAGATGCAAAGAGACTCTGTCAAAATGAGTAAAAACTAGCAAGAATTTTTTTTACCAAGGAAGGCAGCTGGGTAGTTGGGAAACAGAGAGGGAGAGAAATAGACTTTTCCCTGTATAAACCATCTCTCTGCCTTTTGACTTGGTAGTACGAATTTAGTACTTTCCAAGGGATATATTTTTTTCCTGTAAAACAAGTTTCTGAATCATAAGATCAAAGATATTTAAGGGAAATATATTACTTTTTTTTTGGTTTCTGTCCTGTTTTGTATTTAGCACATTTTTATAACAATTGACATTACTTGACAGGTAAAAACAGCAAATATTTCTTAGCACACTGGAACAACCAGAAGTGTTTAAAGTAAAAACAGAATGTTCCTTCCAGCTTACGTTCAAATGGAAAAGATATTTATTAGAAAAAGTATTTTAAAATAAATACAGGCATCACAGAAATAAATTTTCTATAATGTGTCTATTATTTTATGTTGGAAAAGGTCCATGGTTAACGGAGCTTTAAACATAAAGCTAGGAGTTTGGAGCAGCTGGTAAAGCAGTGCTAGCCTGACCTTGACCTTCATGGAGTCCCCTCTGGCCCTGCTCTCTGCAGCCTCCTTGGCACAGACCCTGGGCCCTGCCTGTCCCGCTGCCCTCACGGGCCCTGTGTGGCCTGCCAGGTCCAGCCCTCAGGACTCCCTGGGCAGAGGCAGGGCGGGACAAGGGCAGGGGGCTTTCAGATTTCTGCTGGGGGTGCAGGGGCTATTTTGAAGCTCTGTTTATTTAGCAAACACTGTGTTTTCACTTTGATAATATATTATAGTCCAATAAAAATAAAATTTTCAAAAGATATTGTTATTCATGGTTTATGTTGGGTTGAGCAAACATTATTTGTCCATGTTAAAGAAGGGGTTGGACAGGTGGGGGGAGCCAGATGGAGGTAGAGAAGTGGGCCAGCTCCTGAGCCACCCTCTCTGGCCCCATGGTGTGGATGCCGTGAGGTTTGACTGCCCAACCCCTCCCTAGAGGAATGAGGGAAGCACAACCTCCCAGCCTCCTGGGCCCAGCGGTGCCATTGGAAGACCTCCTGTGGCTGCCCCAGGATCTGGGATTCGGAACCTTTCCCCATCTTGGCTTCTCTGCTCTGTTATTCCCTGCACATGTCAGAGGTGACACCAGGTCAATGAAAGTGGGCCAGTCAGGAATTTGCCAAGGTCTTTGGGGGCTGCTCCAGCCAGGCCCTTACTGCTCCCAGTAGCTCTTCTGCTGCCTGGAATCCCCCCCACCCCAAACCATCCTTTTGCATTATCAATTCTCCATTTCTATTTTAATTAATTAATTAATTTGGTACTGAGGATTAAACCCAGGGGTACTTTACCACTCACTATATCCCCAGCCCTTTTTTAATTTTTTTAAATTTTGATATAGTTTCTCACTAAGTTGTTGAGAGTCTTACTAAGTTGCAGAGGCCAGCCTCGAACTTGCAATCCTCCTGTCTCAGGCTTCTGGGATTATAGGCATGTATCACCGTGCCTGGCATGCATTCCCATTATAAAACAAACAAACACAAAAAGTTCATTTCCCCCCTCTGAATTTCTACTGTATTTCTACTGTTAAAAGTAGACATAACCCATCTCACTCTCCACCAAAGAAGTCACACAAAAGCCAGGCATGGTGGCAACACGGGAGGCTGAGATAGGAGGATTCCAAGTTCAAGGCCAGCCTCCACATCTTAGTGAGATCTTCTCAAAATAAAAAAACATAAAGAGCTGGAGATGTAGCTCATTGGTGGAGAGCCCCTGGGTTCCATCTACTGTACCTCCAAAAGTCATACAACCTAGGAGAAGCTCCATAGTATTTTGGAAAATTTCACTGAAGTCTTTAAAAATAAATCAGTTTTTTTTTTTTTTACCTACTTGTGACATTTCATACATTAATTTTGATCCTTTTAAAAGCATCTTAACAGAAACCTATTTTTCATGTTGCTGGCTTTGATGTGTTTTTAGCTATATGATCTTGGTCAACCTCTCTGTGTGCTAGTTTCCTTATCTGTAGAATGGGATATAACACCAGTATCTACTTTATGGGACTCCTGAAAGGATTCAGTGAGATAATGCAGGTAAAATGCTTTTGCCAACAATCTGATACAATAAACGTTAGCAATCCGTACGTTGCTAACATAGATATTTCATTTTGCTGCTAGCACAAATAAGGTCACATGAACCACCACTTTGTCTAGAGCTTTGTCCAGATTGAAATTCATTCCTTACATGAGTTTTCCAGAAATGAAATTGCTGCAGCAAAAGGGTCTGGATCTCTTTAAAGTTCTTGATTCAGATGACTATTGACACTCCTGTGAGGAGGAGGAGAATTCTGTTTTAAGTGTAAATCTGTTGTCTGGGGGCAGGAAATGGAGTCTCTTTCCCTCCAGCGTACACACCTCTAATGAGTATGAAGTTAGAGGACTTCCCTCTCCGAGCAAACCGGAATGTGATAAGGCCTCTTGACATCATACCGGTATTTGCTGGAATAATCCTGAGAATGGAGTTTCACTCTGTCAAACTAGAGCAAGGATCTCACCCAAGGTGTGGTGAGCAGTAATCAATGGCTAATGGCTGGAGCTGACTTTTGTCCTCTTGGTCATAAAAGACCTTTGAATTGCTTGGCCACTTTTAAATTTCTCAGGAAAAGTGATAACATAAGGACCAAAGTTCATACCAGTTGGCAGGGCTGCCTCTCCCCAGCACACACGAGGCTGGAGGGAGAGGAGATGACCACAGTCCCATGAGTGTTGGGCTGGGCTCATTGGGATTGGGGTCACTGGGGTAGGAGATGTTTTCCTATTGATCCTCCTGCATATCACGCCACAGAACATATCGCCATGCTTTGTTTACCTATCAGTCCCACAAAACTCAAGGGTGTTAAACTTGACACACGGTCGTCAGAGGACTCAGAGGACTCTGTCAGCCCTGATGTGAAGGACACAGATCAAAACCACGCTTGTCGCTCCTGGATTGCTACCCAACCTCCCCTCTACATTTCCCAGAATGACTGAATCAAACCTTCCAGTCCCTGAATCTGGACATCTGCATTTCATCCAGCTCTTCAGAAGATCTTATCATCTAGCCAGCTTAGGCAGGGAATATGCTGACCTATACATCTGAATATCAGCTCGGCTCTCCTCTGTGCTCAGATAAGGTCCTCAGCTCCCACACTTCCGACTCAAGCTTCAGCTCTTAGGCTGCAGTCCACCTGTGCAGATCCCCCTCCAGCTCTTACCAGCACCACTCACCACCCCTGCAGCCATTCTGAGCAGTGCCTGGTGCCTGGACCGCCTATGGGCCTTTAGAGAGCCACCTTGTTCTTCCTGTTCTGTGAACTTGAACTCCTTCCCCGACACTAATGCTCCAACTCCACAAATAATTTCCACATATTTGTGAATCTCCCAAATTTCTTTCTGTCATTCATTTTGAATTTCACTCCATTGTTACCAGGGAACATACTTTGTATGGTTTCAGCCCTTTTAAATTTACTGAAATTTGTCTTCTGGCCTAGCACAGGGTCTAGCCTGGAGAATGTCCTGTGTACACTAGACAAGAATGTATGTTCTACTTTGGTTAATTGGAGTGGTCTAGAGATGTTTATGAGGTCGAGCTGGTTTATAGCATTGTTCAAGATTTCTGTTTCCTTGTTGCTCTTCCGTGCCTCATATAACTTTATCTCTTTGATGGAATAGAAAGCAAATGCTTCTATGAAAATCGATTTCACCGCCCTTTAGAGATTCAGTTTGGGAGTCCTAACTATCAAGTTTGACTATCTGCACAAACTTAATCACTTTTATGATCCCTGGGTTCATCTAGCATATGAAATATTGGTTAAGGCTTAGAATGCAAAATCTCAGTGAAAGGAGAACTCCCCTACTTGATGCTCTCTGGGCATGTGATTCCAAAGGGAGGTTCTAGATAAGCCAACACTGGATCCACTCATCTGTCCATCCATTCTTCTTGCTTCTATCCACTGTTCACCTTCCCATCCCTCCTCCCTCTCTCACTACCTCCTTTCATTTTCTCCCATTATTCCTTCCTTTCTGTCCTCTATCCACTCTTCCACCCATTTTTAGCAATAAAATATATCAGACAGAACTCACTACCTGAAATGCTCAAGGTGTTGGAAAAATTCGTGTGGTGGTGAATTGGAGTGAAGAACCCTAATTTCAAATCTTCATTTCCCACCCAGGAATCTGCAGAGTGTCTAATGTGCTCCTTCACTCACAAACTTTTATGAAATACCTGTTATGAACCAGATATGGTGCTTGGCAGCGAATAAGACCTGGTTTTATTTTCAGGGTCAGAAACAGTCCAAAAGCACTGGTGGCCTATATGGCCAATAGAAGAGGGAGTTCGAAGGTGTTCTCAGAGAAGCAAATGCTCCATTGAGCCTTGAAGGATGAGTTTTGTTGTTGTGGTGGTTGTTTTGTTTTGAGAATCAACCGAGCAATAGTATATGAGATTGTGAAAATGTAAAACTATCACAGAGAAGGAATGATGTTTATTATTAAGGTACTCTGGTAAAAATGTTTTCCTCAAATAACTGGCCAGTGTAGGAAAGGTCTTTGTCAGAAGCATTAGCAAACCTTCATGCAGGCTTTAAGACTGTAAGACAAGGTTGCTGTGGTGGGAGTCAGGAACTCCCAAAGCCATGAGCCAAGGAAGGGGAGTTCTTCAGAGCCTGGATTTTGTTGCCAGACTCACTGGGCTTCTTCTAGTCACTTGTTGTCCTTGTACTCACCTGTGGAATGGGAATGATAATGCAAGAGGATTAAGTGAGTTGGAAGTTGTTGGAGTTGGTAGCTCATAGAGAGTGTTCTGTAAATTCCAGTTGCTACGGTCATGGGAAAGAAATTCAGAGACAGGAGCTTCAAGGTGGCATGGATTTATGTTTTCCTCCTGAAAATATGCTTTTTATCTGCCACCAAGAAACCAGATATAAAGACCGGTTGCAGTGGCATACACCTGTGATCCCAGTGGCTTAGGAGGCTGAGGCAGGAGGATTGCAAGTTCAAAGCCAGCCTCAGCAAAAGTGAGGCACTAAGCAACTAATTGAGACCCTATCTCTAAATAAAATATAAATAGGGCTGGAGATGTGGCTCAGTGGGTGGGTGCCTCTGAGTTTAATTCCTGGTACATCCCCTCCCCACCAAGAAAAGAAACCAGATATATAACCTTGAAGAAATGACTTGGTTTTTCTTAGCCTTTATTCCTTCTTTTTAGTGAAGTCTCTTAATATTATCACGAGAAAAGCAAGATCTTTGAAACTTATGACATATGTCATTACCTCAGTATTGTTTACCATGGAGACGTAGGAGACTGGAACTGGCCTACATGTCCAAAAAGAGGAGAGTGTTAAATGAACAATAGGATTTCTCTCAATGAACTTGTGAGCAGTGAAGAATTAAAAGTCCCATGAAAACTAATATTTTTTCCTCTTATTCAGTGATGAGTCCCTCAGCCCCAAAACAATGCCCACCATTTAACGCTCAGCATTTATCAAAGGACTGAATGGGTAAGTGAGGAAAAATTAACTTGCAAGGAGCATCCCGCCTGGCTGTTGTTTTGCTGCATGGGGTAGAAGTAGAATGGAATAACTGGGGGTTATATAGAGAGAAATGGCTAATGAGTGGGATGTCTACAGGTGCTTATTGGATGGTGACCATTTTAACTCATTCCCCTGTGGCCCACAAAGTGTCCAGTAAAATACACAGCTCCTGGCAGCTCTTTGGGACTGGATCTATGTCTTTGGAGGGTGAAATGAAATACAGAGACTGGCCTCAACTGGAGAATACCCAGGGGCATCCAATCACATCAAGTGTCATTTAATGATGCGGAAAGATGTTGACAATCTATTGTTAAAAGAAAATAATCAGGTACAGAAGAGGATATGCAATTGCAATCCCATTTTGGTTAAAATAGAAAAAACATCTGCTCATGTCTGGATTGTAAGATTGAGGTTTTTTTTTCCTTTCTTTTTGATTATTCATGCTTTATACTTTTCTTTAATCAACATCTACTGCTTGTGTGAATCTGAAAATAATGTGAAATGTTGGATGAGCTTGAGCTGTCCTTATTGGGTTGGACTAGCTGCTAAAGAAATTGAGCTTGAGGTCAACCCACATTGTCAAGGTAAAGCCAAGACAGAGTGACCCATTGATTTACGGCCAGTTCAGTGACCTTTCCACTTGACCAGGAAGAAAACACTTCCCAGTAGTGTTTACAGTGCCTCAGACACAGAGCATCAGAGGGATCTGAGACACTGGGCCAGGCCTCCTCCTCCTCGATCCTTTTTTCTAGATTCCAGAGAACATGCATCCTCCAGGAGAGTCTCCATGGTTCTAAGTACATTCCCTCTTGTCCCGTTTCAAAGGACACTCACCAGGCTTTCTTTTGCACTTCAGGTCAGTAACATGACCCTCCGGGTAGAGAGTCTTGTCAGCTCCTCTGGGCAGAGAATCTTGTCAGCAGGATGGGCTGTGAAGCCTCCTGCAGATGAGCCGGTAATAATCTCTGACTCATATCTGCAGATAACGATTTTCTTAAAGGTGTCTGTTGAGTGATAAGAGCGCACAGAGAGACAGAGTCAGAGAGGAACATAGTGAGAAGCATAAAATCACAACCCTGGAACTCAAAGGTCCTCTAGAGATCACCCATCTCATGGCTGGATAATCTGGGGAAACTAAGATTTGGGCTATATAGAAAGAGCCAGAATCCAGGGCGGTTCACTCCCTAAATATCTCTCAGTTCGATTCTTTCCTGTCCCTTCTTCGATTCCAGCCCACAGGGATACAACAATACCCACTAGCTGATCTTTCAATCCATTGTCTGTCACAGAGGACCCTGTGAGCCAGGTTGAAGAATTTGGACTACAGTTTGGGGTAGTGAGACATCATGAAAGAATTTTTAGGCAGGAGACCAATAAGGTCAGAGCTGAATTTCAGTTGGTAGTGTTAGTTTTTAGATTTTAGTCATCATTGAGAATTTGTAGTAGTAGTATTTGTGAGTTTCCTGTGCATTTCCATAATGATTAATAATATAGAACATCTTTCCACTTGCTTATTGGCTATTCATATAAACTAGATATAACTTTAGCCTGGTGCAGTGGTGCAGGCCTGCAATCCCAGCCGCTTGGGAGGATGAGGCAAGAGGATCATAGTTCAAAGCCAGCCTCAGCAACTTAGTGATACCCTAAGCAACTCAGTGAGACCTTGTCTATTAATAAAATACAAAAAAAAAAAAAAAGGTGTGGGGGAGTGCTGGGGATGTGGCTCAGAGGTTAAGTGCCCCTGGATTCAATCCCTGGTACCAAGCAACAACACAAAAATAGACACACAAACAAAAAAAATCTAGGCATAACTTTAAGGCAATTATTTCTGCTGTTTGAAATGTCTAAGATCTGTTTATTGACTCATTTCAGTTTAAAAATATTCAGTGATCCCTTGCTCTGTGGCAATCACTGTGAGATCTGATGTACCCAAGATGATGAAGAGCTAGCCCTGGCCTTGATCCGTTTGCAGACTTGTTTGGGGTGACAGATACTTAAAAAAGAAAAATTTCTCTCTCAAGGTGTTGGTGCTCAATAGAACTAAGCCCAAGGTACAGAGAGGAATGAGGAGGAGCACTCTCCCCAGCAGGGTGACAGTGGCTGGCAGAGGTTGGGGAGTATTCAGAGGTACTTCCACCCTGGCTCTGACTGTGACATCACAGAGCTGTGGACATGAGGTCATTCATTCTTCACACACTCACTGAACTCTTTCTGTGGACCAGACACGTGCTGACCCAGAAGGCAACCACGAACTACGCAGACCTGTCCCTGTCTAAAGAATCCTACTTGAGAGCTACAAGTTCACTTCCTATCCTCATGGCAACTATGCTGGGCATGGTGGTGCACACCTGTAATCAGTTCAGGAGGCTGAGGCAGGAGGATCATGAGTTCAAAGCCAGCCTCAGCAATGGCAAGGCACTAAGCAACTCAGTGAGACCCTGTGTCTAAATAAAATACAAAAAATAGGGCTGGGGATATGACTCAGTGGTCAAGTGCCTGAGTTCGATCCCCAGTACCCAAACAACAACAACAACAAAAACCATCATTTCTGCTATTGGAAACGTCTAAGATTTGCTAAGTGATTAGAAAACATCAAAACAGATTTATGCTGATTGTAAAGGTTATGTAAGTTTCCATTGATTCTTCATTATGATGGCTTCAGTTGATACATATGTATTTACTGCGTACTTGGTTATTTCCAGTGGTTACCTCACTCAGTCCACATGATTGATGAGAGAGGTTAGGCTTACTACTGTATGAAAGTGAGAGACCGGCGGGTGTCTTGACTCAGTGGTAGAGCACTTGCCTAGCACATGTGAGGCACTGGGTTCGATTCTCAGCACTATATTAAATAAATAAATAATAAATAAATAAATAAATAAATAAAATAAAGGTATTGAGTCCATCTACAACTAAAAAAAAAAAAAAAAAGAAAGAAAGTGAGAGACAGTATACTAGAAATACGGCCCAAAGCAGTTTAAAAGTAGAACCATTCTTTGAATCTGTATCTTGGGACTCTTGCTACTTTGAATAGAATTTGAGTACCATTGGCATATTTTTCGTATAAATTTAGGATTAAAGTACTGATGATAATCAGTTAAAATTAAAGTCCCAGGGATTATGGTTTCCAGGCATTTCCAAATATCTTCCTAAATCCCTCATTCAGCCTGGGAGGCTAGTCTGAGGCCAGTGGCATGGGCCGCACAGTGAAGCTGAACCAAGTCCAGGTTTCCTGACCCGGCACTGTTGCTTGGTGAGAATGCGGCCTCTGGTTGCTCACTAACTTGCATGATTATCCCTGTTCACCTATTCAGTCCCAGACATTTGGCACAGTGAGTACTGCTGTAGGCCCAAGTGAGGGTTTCTGGGAGAAGCCACTCCAGAGCTCTGAGCTCAAATCTCAGCTCTGCCTCTTCCAAGCTGAATGACTTTGCAAGCAGTTTAAACTCTTCAAGTGTCATTTCCTCATCTGTGAAATGGAGCTAATAACAGAAATGACATTGTAGAATTGCTACAGGCATCAAAGAACAAATGCACGGAGGGGCTGGGGTTGTGGCTCAGTAGTGGAGCGCTCACCTAGCATGCGTGAGGCACTGGGTTCGATCCTCAGCACCATATAAATGTAAAATAAGGATATTGTATCCATCTAAAAAAACTTAAGAATAAATATTTAAAAAAAAAAAAGAACAAATGCATGGAAAACCTTCCCCTCTGGCTCTGGATTTTGCTATTTATTGAATAAAGGAAGGAATGCAAACACTTACTTCCCTGCTGGGCCCATAATAGCACTGGACAAATTACATAATGACCAGTTTTTCTATTTAATAATTGCACTTAAATTATTTTTATGAAGATCAAATTAAAGTAAATTTTGGTAGGGAACATTTTCTCTAAAATCTGAACTCAAATACAATGTTTTTATCTTTTTATTCCCATTTGGAAATTGCATTACGATGATTTATTATTAAGAACTTGCAAACAGCATTAAGAAAATCCTAAAGGTAAGTTCTTTTTTTTTCTTTTTTTTTATTGGTTGTTCAAAACATTACAATGCTCTTGACATATCATATTTCATACATTTGATTCAAATGGGTTATGAACTCCCATTTTTACCACATGTACAGATTGCAAGATCACATTGGTTAAGGTAAATTCTTATATAAAGCTGACCACTCAAACCTACTGACAGTTTTATTTCTTCACATTGCTTTCTAACATTTATCCAGACTTTTGTGTTACTCTTCCTTCCTTCCTTCCTTCCTCTCCTCCTCCTCCTCCTTCTTTTTCTTTTTTTTTTTTTTTTTTTTTTTGGTATTGGGGATAGACCCCAGGGACACTTTCATCACTGAGCAACATCTCCAGCCCTTTTTATTTATTATTTTGAGACAGGGTCTTGATAAGTTGCTTTAGAGTCTCACTAAGTTACTGAAGCTGGCCTTGAACTTGTGATTCTCATGCTTTAGCCCCCTAGTCCCTGGTATTACAGGTATGTGCCACATGCCCAACTTGTGTTAGTCTTCTTTTTTTTATTTTTTTACTTCAATTATTCAATAAATTAAGTTGTTGCATTGACTGTATGCTTGTGATTTCTAATGGTTCCATATGATTCTACTCAGTGAAATTCATCAGTAACATGAAAACTTAACTCATGAAGGAAATCACATCACATTCTCATCTGTCCCTCAGTATGCTCAGGCTATTGATTCCAGGGCCCACTGAGGGTACCAAAATCCAAAGATGCTCAAATTCCTCTTATAAAATGACACTATGTTTGCATATACCCTATGCACATCTTCTCATATACTTTAAATCACATCTTGATTAGTTATGATACCCAGTACGATGTTAAAACTATGTAGGTAGTTGTTGTATTGTATGGTCAAGGAAATAATGACAAGAAAAAAAAATGTCTGTATGTGTTCGGTACATGTACAATTTTTCCCCTGAATTTTTCCTGACATTTTCAATCCATGGTTGGTTGAATCCCTGGAAGGTTGAATCTGGGAATAGGGAACCTGTGAATACAGAATCTGTAGACACTGAGGTCCAGCTATATCTTAGATAATCCACAAAATCACTAAATATTATGTGGCCTTTGAGCAACAGCACAATTCTGTAAGGTAAGTACTAAAATTATCCGTTTTTACAGATGAAGCAACTAAGGCTCAGATTATTAACTTGCCAAAATTCATACAGCCGGTCCTTTAGTTACCTAAGGCTCTATAACAAATTGCTCCCCAAAAATAGTGGGAGCAATTTGTTATAGAGTGCAACAACCACTTACTTCTTCATGATCCCACAATTTGGACAGGATTGGTGGAGCTGGCTCATCTCTGCTGCCCAGGGTTCCAACCAGTGTATTTGTATCGTGGCTAGAGGATCCAAGATGGTTCACTCGATGCCTGGTGTCTCAGCAAGGGAGGCTGAAATGGCTCAGGGTTGGCTGGGTTTCTGTCCCTGTGCGGTTTCTCATCTTCCAGTGGTTTTTTTTTTTTTTCTTCTCCTTCCACATGCTCGGTGTGCAGCAGATTAGCTGGATTTCTTTCCATGGTGGCTGGCTTCCTAGAGAGCAAAATCAGGACTTCCCAGGCATCCTAAAAACCAGCTCGAGAATTGGCACAACATCCTTTCTGCTGCATCCTTTTGGTCAAAGTCCAGAGGGAAATAGACCCTACCCTTGGTGCCAGGAGGATGGATGGGACTGGAGGCTGACATCCTCCCACTGGCAGAACGGGGTCTCCAACACCTGCTTGATGCAGGGCTCAGAACTCAGTCCTCCGGCCCACTCACCTCAGGGAGCATTTTTGCCTGGTTAGTTCTCTCTCTTCTTTTCCCTCATTCTTTGGGGTGAATTCCTAAGAACAGGGAGACCTGGTCAAAGGGCAAGGACGCTGTTGGGCTGGTGCTGAGATAAGACTTTTGTAGAGCAAACCCTCTGTAAGTACTGTGTTACCTAAGTCTTTTTTTCACCTCATCCTTCCTCTTGACAAAGGAGATCTGGGTTTAATTTTATTCATTCTATTGTTGCCTCTGCTGTAGTGGAGGGAATCTTGGCTCCTGCTATGAACAGCCTCTTCACGACTTCTGGGCAACAATAAAGTCAGCAAAGAGGCGTGATGTTCAGCCTTGGCTCCAAGGGCTATCTATGCAGGACAGTGTTCCCTGTGGATCAGGTGCACGTGGGGAAAGTAATTTGCTGAACTTGACTTTTCTCAGAACTCGGGATATAGTGGAAGGAATGCAGTGGCTAGACTTGCCAGTGTGCAGTCCTCCTTCTGAAATGTCAGCACATGTCTTTGCTTGCTGTCCCTCCTTATACCTGTCATCCCACGTCTTGTCCAGTTTAGTATTTGTCCAGAGCAAAAAGCCTCCTCGTGTAGGATGATAAATTATATGATCGTTCTCACTGTCTCTGGAACTTGGGCAAGTCATTTCTCCCAGAGTCTCAGTTTCCTCATCTGTACAATGGGCCTGGCTCTCTGCTTCCTAGAGATGTGGATGATGACTCTTCATTAACGGCATCTTCAATGAGGCAACAGTTGTCTTGGGCCCTGGTGGGTACCATGGGATTCTGAAGGTTCCTGATCCTCCTACTGCTCTGGTCTTACAAGTAAATAAATAACCAGGATCATTTGAGATACTTAGTTTATATCAGGTTGCCAGGTAAGGCCTCTCTGAAATGAGACTTGGAAAAGGCATGAGGATGAGAGCAGGCTGGAGGGGAGCTGAGGGAGAGCATCTGAGGTCAAGGAAACAGCAGGTGCAAAGGCAGCAGAAAATTCACTGTAAATAACAGAATGGAGGTCAGGTGCGGTGGTACACACCTATCATCCCAGCGGCTCAGGAGGCTGAGGCAGGAGAATCACGAGTTCAAAGCCAGCCACAGCAAAAGCAAGGCACTAAGCAACTCAGTGAGACCCTGTCTCTAAATATATATATATATGAAATAGGACTGGGGATGTGGCTCTGTGGTTGAGCGCCCCAGAGTTCAATCCCCAAGAACACTCCCCCAAAAAAAAAAAAAAAAAAAAAAGAAACAGAATGGATTTTTATGAATAGTGTTATGCTCTTTAACTGTGAAGAGCCCTGTGGTAATTATCCTACTAGAGGGTTTTAAAATGC